TTACCAGGTGATACCAGGGCTCGTAGTTTAATGCTACAAGGAAAGACTGGATAGATTAGGCCTTTTATCACTGAAGTGTCCAAACCAGATTGAGTGTTCCACATATGGACGTCACCTATACATGGAAATTTCTCTGTGTCCGGGATACAATGTGCACTCTCACCCGGCTTACCTATTTCTGGAGAGTATTAGACATGGGCTGGCGAGAGCCAAGGTTTGTGTTTTAATTGTTTATGCTGTGGCTCGAAGCACCAAAACAAATCTTTCAAGATTACGATCCAAGCTCTCAGAACTTTGGTTTGGATTTGCTTAGATCATAACACTGGGCTTAATCTACTTTAAATCAAACAATAAGCATTTTCTTTCCGTTTATCATATTTTGTCCTCTGAACACAAATTTACCCTTGGAATAACGATCTGGATGGCTAATCTGCTCCATTCAATGCACTTTCTGTCCAAAGTGTTAAGATGCTCCATTTGGTAAGTTTTGCAAATGTGTCCCTGTGCACTTATAAATAATCATAATTCAATTTTAAGTTAAAAAACATGCCATTATAATTCAATTATAGTTTTAAAATTGCATTACACTTATATAAGCGCACAGGGAGTGATTCACTATAATCTTACTGAACAGAGCTGAATAGATTGGGCTTTGGTAAACCGAGCAGCGAGGGCCGAAGATTTCGGTCGACAAAAAGCGGGCGAGGGAAGCTCTTTTTCATGATGGGAGCACTTACTAAGGCACTGAAATATAATGATTGCTCGCTCCCAGTCTCTGTATGCTCGTTTTGGCTGCTGCCCTGACCCGAGCCGCTCCCCCTGGAAATGCTCCTCCTCCTATCCTCCTCTATCCGCGACTCCCACTCTGGCCTTCTCTCCCACCGCTCTCCTCACCTTCTCTCTCTCCTGGAACCCACCATTACCTCCCTCTGCTCCAGTCTGGGCATACTCTGCCAGGGCCATCGTGATACCCAGAGTTAGTTGTCCCAGAGCAGCCACCCCAACTGTCCCATCGCTCACTCTCTCCGCAGTAATGCTTCTGAAAGGCGTACACTCCTTCCCCCTCCCTCATCCAACTCCCTTTCCACCTCTCGCCACTCCTCAAACTCCACAGTCGTCTCTCGACCTCAAATTCTCTCCATATCACTCTCTCCTCCACAACACCCCCACCAGCAAACACATCCACATTTCCTTACAAATATCCGCTCCCTCTCCAATAAAGCCCTCACTATCCACGACCTCATTCTGGATAGGCACATGGATATTCTTGGGCTTTACCGCCACCCAAAAACCACCTGGCTCCTTCCTCTTCGATAAGTCCGCTCTCTTCTCCTCCCTGTCCCTCTGCTCAGAAGTCCTGCTCATAATGGGTAACTTCAACCTCCACTTTAACTCCCCTTGCATCACCTCCTCAGATTTCACTGCCCCCCGTTCCTCCCTAAACCTCACCCTCCACATCACTCACTGACCAACAACCATGGCCACTCCCTCAACCTCGTCATCACACATGGCCTTGACTTTTCCAACCTGTGCATCACGGACAAGGCCTTCTCAGACCACTTCCTCATCTCCTTCTCCTCTCGCATCCCTCTCTCCTCCATCAAGCCCCCAACCATACTTTTCCACCCATGGAAAAGGCTCCCCCCCACCCCCCCAAGACCCTCACAAAGGCCCTCTCATCCTCAGACCTCCAATCCCTCTGGCCTTCCACCCGCAGTGACCCTAAAGCAGCGTCAAGCTGCTCTATGATCGCCTCTCTTCCACCTTCAACTCCCTCGTCCACCTGAAATCCAGGACAGTTTTCAAACCCACCTGCTCCCCCGGGACAACAGCAATTATTGCAAACAGCAATTATAATCTTTGCATTTGATATAGCGCTTTTCACGTCGGGAGGACGTCCCAAAGCGCTTCACAGAAAACACTGTAAAGTGAATTGACTGTATATTTGTGGCCGAACGCGGCAGCCAATTGCAATGTCCAACAAACAGTCGTAGATTGAAAATGACCAATTTATTATTGTTTTTGGTTTCGGAGGGAATATTATTAGGCGTGTGGAGTAAGGAAACTTGCCCAAGGTTTCGCCCTCTGCCTGGAATTGAACTCAGGTCTCTCACTTGCAAAGCGAGTGCTCTAACCACTGAGCTACAGGACTCCACAGGAATCTAACTGAGGTTTTCAAATTTGCTCCTGCAGGAGGATTAGGTTCTTTAAACATTTAGGGAGCCTAATGCCTAGGTTAGTTGCAGCAGTTGAACAAAAGGTCCTAAGTGATGATAACATGGGAAATTCTCCAACTGAAGTGACACGTGGTCAGTAATGTTGATGCTCAGCGGGATGGGAGAGCTACCTTGGTTTTGCAGCATTTTGCAATAATTGATGGTACACCAGGTCAGCACTGCAGTTTAAACTTGTGCTCCTTGAAAAAAATCCAGCCACGTAGCATCGCAAGCCTTCAAAGTAGAGGCTTTTTTTAGGTACCAATTAACGTGCAATCACTCGTTATCAGAACTCATTTTCCATCAAATCAAACCTCTCAAGACAAATCAAATGGATGCGATGGGAATCAATGCAGCACACTTGATTCTCACATCTTTACTGCAGAAAGAGATGGGGGAAACAACTATTTTCAGAAAATTCATGAAGATGAAAGTATGTATTCTGTAAATGTTGTTTTAGAAAAGCTATTCTCCAGGAATGATTCTAGGGGCAACCAAGGGCATTGAGATTGTATATATGTAGGAGTGCTTAGAGATCTATTCTCAGGGTTGAAGTCCTCCAGTTCTTCAATCACAGCTTAAATGTAACCCTCTGAGCGTCACAAGTAACTTATCTCGTTTCAGCTCAACTAGCCTGTCAGCACCACAGACAAAATAACTTGCTTGACAACAGTTTTTGCTACGTTTGACACTGGAAAATCCTGTCAAATGTTGACCTGGTTGCAAAGCAAAACGACTCAGAATGGTTGGAACCATACTTGAATTTTGAGGTAGCTGGCAACAAATGATTACTTTCTCTATTAAGAAATTTTGAAACAATTATAACAATGATAGCACTGAGTGTTGAGAGAAGCATTAAGAGACTAAGGGCAACCAAGCAATGATTGTGCACAACAACTGGCAGCAGAGAAGACAACTTGTTAAATCAAGCGGACAATGTAAATCTATATTATATACATATTATATAATAATAATAATAATAATAATCCTTGCATTTGATATAGCGCTTTTCATATCGGGAGGACATCCCAAAGCGCTTCACAGAACACACTGTAAAGTGAATTGACTGTATATTTGTGGGCGAACGCGGCAGCCAATTGCGCACAGCAATGTCCCACAAACAGTCGTAGATTGAAAATGACCAATTTAATTATTGTTTTTAGTTTTTTTGGAGGGATTATTATTAGGCGTGTGGAGTAAGGAAACTTGCCCAAGGTTTCGCCCTGCCTGGAATTGAACTCGGGTCTCTCGCTTGCAAAGCGAGTGCTCTAACCACTGAGCTACAGGACTCAGTGGTTAGAGCACTCTAACATATAGACATACATGCATGCCGCACTGCCGTGTTCACCCACAAAACACAGAATTACACTGCCCTGTTCACCCACAAAAATTGGAGGTGCTTACAATATTTGTCAGTTGGAGAGCAAGGGTGTAGCAGTCATTGCAGAACGATGTAAATTGAGGAGAAACTGCAGATCCAGTAGTTCAAGTCCTCCAGTTGTGCAACCACAGAGGCTCAAGATCCTATATTGTGTGATAGATCTCCAGGAATACATTATGAGTTACCTGGCCATAACTAACCAGTGCATGAACAGGTTCAGGATCACCAACGAGATTGGAACTGAAGAGTTTAAGCTGCTCCAGAGTCCCATTGAAAATGTAAAGCCAGTGGCAGAGAAGGTCATAGATTGCTTCAACTTTAATGCCACTAAGATTGTCCAGGCACAAACATGGGACGTTTTTTTTTCAGAATCAGAAGCAATTTTGCACTCCACAGCTTATTCTCAGACTTTCAAGTTCAATGGAATCAACTGGCTCTTTCGAGGTGACAGAACCGTGAAATACTCACCACTGCAGGTTGTCTCGTCATTTACTGATACAATTTCACTGAAACGAACATTGCAGCCTTTCTCTTGCTGCTATGCTAGGCTCATAAGTTTCAGAAAACACATTTTTCTCCTGCACTCCATGAAAACAGAAAAATCATCCCCTCAATGATGCTATCTGTATGACAGTTGCCACACTTCTAATTATTTAGCAATGTTATTTCTGCCACTGATCTACAGAATGATACGTGTTTACTGATTCTAGGCAATGAGACAGTTGAGGTCATTCACAGACCCAGCTTCCCTGCTGCTAATTTCAATTTGAGCTCAGCTATTGAAGTTATGGATCGCGCAACAGTGACAGATTAATGGAAATTTTCTAGACAAGTGCAATTGCTAGAAAGGCATATTGAATAAAATTAAATTAAAAACTGTAGAGACAATTCTCTAATATTTTGGGTTGCAATGAATGAAGATGGGCAACTCTTGCAGATTTCAAGTCACCATGAGGAACATTGTGTCACACCCTGCATGCAGAAAGTGACATTGGTGACGACCCGATTATCTGGAAGTCAGACAATTTTAAGCGTGGAACGCATAAGCAGTGTGCTAAAAGTACATATTTTTCAGGAAGTGACATTAGCCCCACTTCTTTATACACAGATAGCACATCAGAAGTGACATTGTGCTCTCAATTTCGACTTTGTTATTAAAACCCAATGTTTGTTGTTATGGATCCAAACAGCAATCCAAACAACACATTAATAATGGGGTTCTTCTGTATTTTCCCATTACATCAAGTTGTTTTGTAAATGAGTCAGTCCATTATCGATAAATCATAATCTCAAATAGGCAACCAATATATTTATCTACCTGCACTGAAACAAATGGATTGTCCACGGAGGATATACATTTTAATAGTTATGGATTTTACCCTAAATAACATTACAGCACTGACCTGGGGTACTTTCTTCCTTTACTAACACACATCAGCCTTTTCTTCTGCTGTGGTTCTTCCTCGGACATAGATTCCTCAGCTTGCCTCTTTTCTTCTGTAGGAAGTACTGACATTCGATGATCTGTTGTACATTTTCTGCAGGTCACGATGGTAAATTTATAAATTAAATATTAATCGGAACTATTACATTTTCAAAATTATTATTCAATAGTTATAAGTATCAAGTATTTTTTTTAAAAAGTATGAATAATTTGGACTCCCATTTACAGAAAAATAATAGGACATTATTTGACAGAACCACTTTTAATTTCAACCTGGCAAAGAATACTTAATGCATTAAATCCGTACAGCAATATTTTCACAAATCTCAGTCTAGTGAATATAATATAATTTACATGCTTAGCACAATAAGATCATTATTAGAAAGTGAAGACAAAGCAGCTGACAGATGTCACAACATTCCCTCTCCATCTGAGTAATGAAATAACTGAGTGAGAGGCCAGTTATTCAGAATAATAATCCCTCCAAAACCAAAAACAATAATAAAAATTGGTCATTTTCAATCTACGACTGTTTGTGGGACATTGCTGTGCGCAATTGGCTGCCGCGTTCGCCCACAAATATACAGTCAATTCACTTTACAGTGTGTTCTGTGAAGCGCTTTGGGACGTCCTCCCGACGTGAAAGCGCTATATCAAATGCAAGGATTATTATTATTATTAATAGAATGGCTAATGAAGTGTAAAAGAAGTGCATCAACACCATAATTACGAAGACAGTATAACAATTTCCCAATACTGCATCAAAACAGGAGCACGACCCAAGTTACTTTTCTATTTTGCCAATGCTGTTTCATATTTTCTATCACAGAATACAACAACAACTTGCATTTATATAGTGCCCCTCAGGCAGGGTATTGTCCCAGAGCGCTTGAATATATCACAGGAGAGGATCGAATGAAGGCTTTTTGGGCCATTTGATTTTATCCTTCCAGAATATCCACCCTCCCATTACAGCATCAACCAGTGAGAGCTGCCAGGCTATTTTAAGATGGAATGACATTACAGTTGATCCTGTTTTCATACTGTCCACTTTCCAGCAGGGGTTACTGCATAACAATGAGGAACAAGGTCCTGGACTTCCTGTCCCTCTCCAGAGCCCAGAAGTGCTAAGGCAAGCTGTATAACTCAAACTACTGTCTCAGCTGAGATCAGCCAACAATTGCTGACTCCATCCCAGATACCCTCCCCCTCATCCCCCTTTCCCTCCCCATCTTTAAAGCCTGTCTTACAACCTTTCTTATCAACTACGGTTGCCTTTGTATATCTTTCTCTTCCCCCCCACCCAGCTGGGACTCACAGATTTTCTGTGAAGTGCTTTGAGACATCATTCCTACGTAAAAGGTGCCGTATAAATGTCAAATTACGATTGTTGTTATTGAGCAATTTGAAATGTTTCACAAATATCATGGGGAGCACTGAGCAGTGAAAAAAAATTAACCAAAGCGCAGTTAAAAACGTGGGCGTTGAATTCAGGAAGCAATTTTAAGGAGGTTTTGGAAGAGATTTCCAAAACGGAGGAATTGTGACTAAAGATTTAGTCAACACAGACCAGGATGTGACATCACCTGATTAAATGGATGACTCAACAGACTTCATATGTAAAACAAATACCAACCTCTTCAATATTAATCTGAGAAATAATTCCAATCTATTAATGGTGATGATGCAAAAATGTGTGACAATTAGAAAAATGTCACATCAGACATATGTTCAACAGCAAAAAAAAAATCTAAAGAGCAAATCAGATTTACAGACCCATGAGACGTCATGTTAGAGGAACTAGGTGTTGTTTCTGTTCTATCCGCTTCCAATTTCTTGTTCTTCGGCATACCAGGACTAGACAGTGGCATTTCTCCATTGAGACGATCCTGCATCACAGACTCTCTGTTCAGGTTGATCTCAGAATATGGGCAGCCTATAGCACTGCAAGAAAAGAACACCTCTTACAGTTGGCGAATAATGGTCAACATATTTTCTCATGGTTAACGTCACAGATTTTTTTTTTGCGTTCAGCTTAATCTCTTTTGAGAGATCGTCTCCGAAAGACTGGGTGCACAAGAAAGCTGGAATATTAGGATCCAATTAGAGTCTCGGATATTATGTTATTATATTATTATCCGTGGAGTCCTGTAGCTCAGTGGTTAAAGCACTCGCTTTGCAAGCGAGTGACCTGAGTTCAATTCCAGACAGGGTGAAACCTTGGGCAAGTTTCCTTACTCCACACGCCTAATAATAATCTCTCCAAAACCAAAAACAATAATAAATTGGTCATTTTCAATCTACGATTGTTTGTGGGACATTGCTGTGCGCAATTGGCTGCCGCGTTCGCCCACAAATATACAGTCAATTTACTTTACAGTGTGTTCTGTGAAGCGCTTTGGGACGTCCTCCCGACGTGAAAAGCGCTATATCAAATGCAAGGATTATTATTATTATTATTATTATATTATCAATAGGGATTCTGCCCCCACCCCCGTTCCAGAGGCCAGACATAACTAACAGCTCTTTTTGATCACATTTTTAATCACAGAATAATATCACCAGTCTCATTGACGGTATTTAATGTCTCAGAATTGTCTCAAAGACAAGAGGGTGAACATTTCTTCTTAAGGTTTCCTGCTTGGCCGTGATGTGAAACGAATCAGGGCAGTCTCAATCTAATGGGAGCGGACACAAACAGCCCAGAATTAAACATGCATTAACAAGCTTACTCTGGAATGTCACAAGGATCGATGGCTTGGGAAATGAACAAAATTAACACTGATAGATCGGAAATGCCATTCTGCAGTAGGAGTTGAGATGCGCTGTTGGGACAAGCTTTAATTTGTATCTCTTTATACTACATCTGACCATGCAATGCTTGGTGCTAACCCTGTGTGCTCTATTGGTCTATTCTGCTCTATTCTCCAGTGCTGGCATCCATCACCTTGAGAAACTCAAATGTACAAATGAAATAAAATCAATTACAATGTTATTTTTTTACAAACTAAATGTCTATTAATAGTGTTTAATTATACCACACATTCTGAAGATACCATTTTAATAGTCGAGAAACATTGCGGTTTTCATAAGTACATTCTCTTTCTTAATTAACCCCTTTACTTAATTAATGAACTGGTGGAAAACTGCAACACAAACCCATCTTTTGCTATCAACAGATTTGGGAATAAATACTGTTCCATCAAATGCAAGAATTATTATTCTTAAATGTAGTACTTTACAAAATTAGGTTCACTATAGAGAAATGCAGTCATCAACTCACATGCATACCCTATCAAATTCTTTTTGTAAGACCTTTGCTGCCTCTTCTGGTTCTACAATTCCCTTATTTGAAAATGTAACTACCATATAACTGGATCCGTGAATCCAGGGCATTAACATGCACAAACAACACGAGGGATCCCAGTACAGACTGCGAGTCATCTCACATTAAACCTGTGTGAAAGGCACAGTAAGTACAAGATTTTGTATTCCATATTTCAGTTGCAACAAAATATCATTCTCAGCAATCAGAAACAACAAATAAAGTGCTGAAATATCTGAACTTAAAATAGCATTGAGAAAGTGAACCCAGAACAATACTTTCAGATATGCCAAGGCAGCAGAGAGGGTACAGGTTTGAAGTCACAAAGGGCAATTTCAAGGGAATAAGTTACCAGGAGGATGGCTGACGGCAGGGTGCTGGATTCATTTCAGAAAACAGCTTGAAGGTGTAATGAAAGGACGATAGGATAGGTATTCTGAAGGGAGAAGATCAAATGAATTGAAGCCCTTCTTCATCTGAAGTTCTCTTGTGAACCATGGTGCTGAAGACAGTGGTTACTCTTTTTCTTTCTTAATCAATCCTTATCATTGTCAAATCCACACTGAAACCAGGCCAGCTGAGCCCTTCAATTATTTTGATATGTGAACAGTAAGCTGCAATTTTTTTTTGAAAAGGAGAATTGCAATCTATAAAACTCCAGAAAAATGTAATTATACTACTAAAGAATGATAAAGGTTAAAAACATCCATTAATTATTTTATAGGTTAGCCATATTTTGGGCATATATTTGTTAATGAGTCAAAATCATTCAGGGTCCCTTTCATGTTTCAAATGTATTGCTCACCCTGCAATATATACTGTTTTTTAAAAAACGATATATATGCCTGTGATTTTTGCACTCATTGGAAAGTGAAGGAACACTTTACCATTTCAGGCACCCAATGCCAGCAGCAAGAACATCCCCAGGTCAGGTACTTACATCTGTTTTTAGAATCTAAAGCTGTACCCCACCCCCTTTTCCGGAACCTCCTTTATGCCATTCTACAAGAAAATATAGGCTCCTGCTATTGAGGGAACATCCAGGAAGTGGTTAAGAGCAGCGTGAAAACTTTCCCCCACCGTTTATGGAAAAACCATAGAAATTTACAACACAGAAGAAAGCCATTCGGCCTATTGTGTCTGTGAGAGCTCCTTTAAGAGCAATCATTTCAGTCGTATTTTCCTGCCCTTTCTCCATGAAGATTCATTTTACCACAGGCAGGAAAAGGCCACATATTGAACTGGAGGCACAGGCCTGTGTGCACAGTGCTGTGTATGCTAATACATGGTGTCACCATGCTGCTTGACACAGAATTGTTGTTAACCACAGATGCTTACTTCACAGCAACTGGGCACGGCAGAGAAAGCAGAAATAGTTTAATCCTAAAGGACACAATTTACATGACTATCATTTTTGGTGGCAGAACTGTGCTAATAATCAGGCAAGTATTTGCACTCTATCAAAATGTACTGACACTTTCTTTACTCTTTAGATATTCTAAACGATCAAATGTTTTATGTAAAAGAATTTAAAAAGCATTGTATATTCATGCCACATCACCAGGCGTTTAATTTTCTAAGTTCTGCAAACGTCAATGCCATGCTGTCATTCACCTGTAGTCTGAACCCATTTCTCATGTAGTTTACGCAATAGTAACATGCAGAAATAAGCTCTCGAAAGGGGGACAAATGAGTAAAAAAATCAGCTAGATTTCAAATTCAATTCCCAAATTGTTTTGATCTAAAAGAAGAATATTCTCATAAGGAATAAAAGTACATCATCTAACAGTAAAAATAACTGAGGCCTGTTTATAGTTCTGAAAATGGGACTGAATATACCCGGGGTTGACCTTCAGCATCTTCCATTAGGCTGATAGTTTATAGGTTACTGATTTTAGTTGCTAACAGAAGCACTTCTGGAACTACCTGCAAAGTCAATACAATCAAGAGGAAATAATTTAGATTGTATGAACCTTTCAACCTCCTGTTTAAACAAAGTCTCTAGAATCAAAGGTTTTAGATTACAAGTGCTACTATTTTTCCATCTGTACCATAGTGCCTCAGCATATTTAACATTAATACTTGTGCACGGTGTGAAAATGCATATCTTCGGTTCTCACCACCCCTACGACAGGAAAATCTAGCAGAAGGTTTGGATTACTTTTAAGCTGCACTTTTTAAATACCGTTTTCTAGGCTAGTTTTCTTTTCACATTCACATCAGAAGGAAAAAGCTTCTAACACACAACACAGAAAGTAGTGTCAAACTGGGTGGCATTGGATTGTTTCTTCAGACCAGAAATAACATGGATTTTGGATACCATGGTACAAACCCTGCTATTAAGGCGGTAGTTGAGGTTAACTAAAATCCCAACCAGTCTTAGACCCCAAATGTGATCTGGTTTAGGGCTCCCCCATTCCTGAATCTGGCTCTGATTACTAGGGCCAGATTAAGGGATAATGGGGGCCTTAAAGCAGATCACATCTGTAGAGTTCTCTGAACTACAGATACAAAATATGCAACAATACCTTTTAAAATATTTCCCTGCGCGACTGCATAGTTGCAAATATGTCAACTACATGATCAAAACTTATTACAGTCAGGGATCCGCACACATCAAATTGTGCTCAATAACTTGTGCGAGTTCATTCAATCTATCCTGGATCCTTGTAGACCTGAGACGAGACTTATCTTTGAGAATGAGCATTTCCTTCACAGACTGTTACTAGTAGTGAGAACATACGGACAAGAGCAACTGCCACATTCAAAAATGCTGATTCCACCAAATGATTCTGTTTCATATACTTGACGTCCTCCTGACGTGAAAGGCGCTATACAAATGTAATTTTGTTGTTGTTAAGCATATATTTGATCACCAGTTAGCACTTCTACATCATCATGTCAAATGACCAATGGTACCACCATACATATGAAAGGCCAGCTTTCTGCTTTCTAAAAATTATGACCTGGAACTCGGGCATTTTTTTATACGTGGAAAGCCATCTTATTTGTGCTCAAGCCGACAGGGAACCTGTTTTATAAACAAGCCAATGTTATAAGAGGGCACCTTATAACGGAGTTCTACTTTTTTGAGGCCAGAAGTATATTAGTAGGATGCATGCTTTCAGGAATACTGACAGATAGAATCTCATATGTCCTCCATGGAGGACTTGATGGAGTCCATTGAACATATGGAGTTCAATGCGAGGTCATCGAATATGGACCAAAAAAAAATCAGGAACCATTTTTTCACTCAAAGGGTGGTAGAAATCTGGAATTCTCTCCCCCAAAAGGCCGTGGATGCTGGATCCATCCACACCTTCAAGAATGAGGTTGATATATTTTTGGTAGCTCAAGATATTAAGGGATATGGGGAGAAAGCGGGAAATTGGAATTGAAAGTATTAGTTGAGGTACAGATCAGTCATGATCTAATTAAATAGCGGAACAGAACAGCTCGAATAGCTGAAATGCCTATTCCTGTTCCTATGTCCTCTTAATTTAAGACCAAAAAAAAATAAAGGCTTATAAAAATGTCTAGATTTACTCTATATATACAATAACTTGCACTTATATAGTGCCCTCCATGCAGGGTAGAGTCTCAGGGCACTTAACAGTGG